ATACCATTAAAATTTCAAGTGATTTGGATTTATAGAAAAAAAACTTAAAATTCAAATACTACCAGACATTCGTGTTTGTCAGATCGGCCCAGATTCAATCTGGGTCAATCTGGGCCGTTGAGTTTATACTAATCCATGACCTAGTGGGCTCATCTTTCTTCCACATATAAGAGCACAATGGTTCAGATTGAATTTAGGCCGATCTGACGATCACAAATGTCCGGTAGTGTTTGAATTTTATTTATTTTTCTACGTATCCAAATCATTTGAAATTTTAGGTGTGTGTTCTTCTCATTAAGGTGCATCTAATAAAAATATAAAAGAAAAGTATTCGTAAAAAAAGACCAAAATAACCTCTGAAATATTTTGGGGGTATTTTAGTTAATGTTTTTTTATATAAAATATTTTTTTGATATTTTTCGAAGATTCACCTATTTTTTATGAACACACGTTTAAAATTTCAAGTGATTTGGATTTGTAGAAGAAAAACTAAAATTCAAACACTATCGGACATCTATGATCGTCAGATCGGTCTATATTCAATTTAAGACGTTGGGCTCATATGTTATATATATATATATATATATGTTAGCCTATATCAAATTTTCAGGTTATCACTCTTAGGATTGGGTACGCCCAAATTTTATATCACGACGTGTATAAAATTTATAAAAATAAACTAATGTCAAGCCTGATATTGTGAATAAACTACGCAAGCTATTTATTTCAATTTCAAATGGCTGAAAATAGCGTGTCACATGCGTGACTTTTCCGTTTTATTTTGAGTTTATCGTGTTGTCCCAGATTTGGGTGGACCGATGGGCTGAGGAAATTGGGCCATGGATTAGCAGCTGGGATTGGGCCTTAATATCGAGGTCCATCAACCCTTATTGTCCATTAATACGTGGTTAAGATCATGATTGGTTGAAGGGTGTAGTTGGCATACGGATGCATCCGTAGGTGTAGAGGTAAGGTCGGCTTTCAAATTTTATCATGATATATTTTCTCAAAATCTATTTTTATATGTAATTATAAAGTTTTATATTTAAAAAAAAGTTAAAATCAAGTAGATCTATAAACATAAGAAAATCTTGAAAATTAGTGGTGTAGATAATATGTTGTAAAATGCACAATTTTTTAGATTTAAAATCTTTTTATTTTTCATGGTCATACATATTAATGTCGAGATGATCAATCAAAGTGTTTTTTAACATTAAAACTACTTTTTCCAATAGAGTTTTGAGGTGCATCCGTAGTTTTATATTATAAAGTTGCATCACTTCCTTGGTTGAATGACCTCTAAAAGAACGCAGTTTTAATTTTTTTTGCTTTTTTTTTTTTGTGTCCTAACACGCACAAGTTTGGTTGGTTTTCCCTTGATTTGAGGACTCGAAACACATCCCAATTGTGTGGATCTGTTTTCGACTTATACTCATGAATTTAGAGCTCTAAATATCTCATGGCACTTTATGAAAAATGAAACATTTCGGTGTTTCGGTTGATCTAGGAGAAGACTTCATAATTTTTTTTACTTTAAAATTTAGCTTAAATAAATTGATATTTATATATAAAATATATACAAACAATAGAAAAAAATTATAACTAAAGATAAATTTTTTTTTTTTATGTAGCTATTTTTTTTGCTGGCCGAAGCAAACCCGAAGCAAATCCAAAGCGGTTTGAATCTAAACAAAGCAACCTAGGCAACAACACCAAATTTCTCTTTGGTTTATGCCTAAAATCCGAAGGCTTCAGCCTCTTCGGTCGAAGCGAAACGAATTTAAAAACATTGATGAAAAGCAAAAATCCCAAAAAATAATTATAAGTTGGAGGCCTGATATCCCAAATATGGAGGCACCGTAATAGGCCATACTACGACACCCTATGCCATGAGGTTCGGCTCCGCTAGACTCAAAAAGGCCCGAACGATGCTCAGGCTCTGCCTGAGCCTCTATGTCGAAGCTTGGCCTGGCGTGGGCTTGGACCTTTTTTCTTTTAAATTATTAATTTTTTTTTGGATAACACAATAGTAAAGATAGGCCCTTACCTTCTTTTTTTCAAATAATTTAGGAGTTAATTTTTTTAAAAGTGTCAGTGATAATGAAAACTACAGTGTCCCACCGCATTTTTCTCTCGTCTCTTTTCTACCTGGCCGCTGCGTCTCTCATTCTTACCCATACACCCCTGCTTCTCTCTTCCTCCCCCACCAACTGCGTCTCTCTCTAACCTTCCAGTCAGATGCTTCTCTTTGTGGTCATTAAAACTGACCCCCTGTCTCTGAAATTGAAGCAGCCACCGTTTGATGTTGCTGTGGTAATTTTTTGTGGAATTATAAAGAGATTCCTTTTAGGGTGCAGTTTGTATAAGTTGAGGTTCTAAACAATCAAATTAAAGCACACCTTTCAATATTGTCGGGAAATGTGGTTTCAATACTGGAAATTTTTGTAATAATACTAGCTTAAGTAATAATGGGAGAAAGCCTTTTAGATTGGAGTTGGCCTGGTTGGATGATAACACAGCTTGGGAAAACAGTATCTTGACTCACTTCCATAAAGCTTTCTCTACTAAAATCCCTTTCAAGCCTAATTTGAACAGACTGACCTTTTCGACTATCCCTTCTTTTCTTGCTGATAGTTTGGAAAAAGTGGTTTCGATAGATGAGCTTAAGCTAGCAGCGTTCGAACTCCCTGGAGATAAAACCCCAGGACCAGATGGCTTCCCCTTGGCATTCTTTTAAAGATCCTGGCCGGTGGTTAAATTAAAGTTGTTGGAGATGGTGAGGGATTTTATGGCAATATGGGAGTTTTTTAAAAGGGTAAATGCCACTTTTATTACATTAATTCCAAAAAGATTTGTTATATCTGCTCTCTTAAATATTAGACTTATCAGCCTTCTCACTAGTCTATAAAATTGTAGCTTTAAAATCCTTGCTGAAAGGCTGAAAACGGTCATCCCTATGCTTCTATTGGATACACAGTAAGCATTTATTCAAAATAGGTTGATTTTAGACAGTGTTTTAATTGCTCAAGAGTGTATCCACTCTAGATTGATAAGCAGCGAACCGGGGGTAGTGATTAAGCTGGATTTAGAAAAAGGCTATGACAAAGTGGAATGATGCATATTGCTAGAGATTGTGAAACAAATGAATTTGGGAAATAGATGGAGAAGTTGGATCTTCGGTAGTCTTTCGAAGGTGCACTTTTTTGTTCTCATTAATGGAAGCCCAAAAGGCTTCTTTAGGATATCTAGGGGTTTGAGATAGGGCGACCCTCTTTCACCCTTTCTGTTTACTCTGTATGCATGATGTTTTAGTAAAATGATATGCAAAATTGTGGAGAGGGTATTTTTCAAGCTTTAATGTATCTTAGAATAATCTCCGAATTTTCCACCTTCAATATGCTGATGATACATAACTCTTTTGTGATGCTGGTAAAG